ATTCCTCCCCTAAACCAACTAAATAAATATTTCTCTGTTAAGCCTAGGGTGGAAAATAAATATCTTAGTATATAGCAAAAAGGAATCTTAGTAGTGAATTGTCATAATTATGGCGCTGTCAGACCGTGATTGATGATCCAATGTCATCCACAAATATCATGATGGCATGTTAAAAACCTACATATTTTTATACTGTGTTGGCGTAATAATGGGGCAACACATGAAACCTAACAAAGACATTGTGTACAGTGTAGCATATGAGTTTATAAGAGGCAGAGGAGTTGGGGTAGTCAAAATCTGTATAATTTGGCGTGTGTGACTCCATTGCTGTCCACGCGCGGTCATTAGCGTCTGTTCGGCACACCCCTACTATTCCGGCCAGTGACGTCAGAGGTATGCAATATCCGTCTACACTTGGTTGTTTTGTCCGGTTTTATGAATAACCAGTCATTTCTTTGTGAACGAGCCTTTTTTTTCTTCTTTTTTTTTGGTGGAATATTAGAATTTTTTTCTTTTTCGAATCTTTTGAGGGGCGTCTCTGGTTCACCTACACATACTTTGGAGATAACGAGTTTAATCATGCTTATCTTGTCTCTTACAGAGTCTAGTTTTGACTTATCAAATACAGATTGAACTTGGGACTCATTTTGATCCTATGACTTGAAGTCTTAATTCTCAAGTTTAATGTCTCCTTTATTTCATTCTTTGTGTGCATCATTCTTTAAACGTTAGGTTTTAAAGAAAATAATGTTCCTAAACGATTCTAAATTGTCTATAGTTACAGCAATTGAGAAATTCTGTGTTTTTATACTTTCTGAACAATGCCTTCGAGTTCTCATATAATTTATGCTACTTTTGTAACAAAAAAATATTATTTAAACTTTAGTTGTAATTTAAATAAATTCTGAATTTGTGATTATGTATTGATTGCAAGTACAAAGAGTTTAAACTGGCATTTTTTCATCAAATTAATATGCAATGTTATTCATTTTTTTTTCAAATGAATAGTGATTCATTGTTGATCAATACGTCTGACGAATTAGTTGATCAATACGTCTAACAAGTCGTATTGATCAACTAATTTCGAAAGTAAATAAGAACTAAATCTATGAGCTAAGTTTGGCATTTATTCCAAATACGTCGAAACAAGTTAAGATTTTACAAATATATATTTTGTATGAAAAATGTACCGAACTATAACAATTATTTATAACTGTTATTCTTCACAAAATGTTTCGTCTTTACTTAAGAATTTTTTTTTTATAAGCCAATGCACATTAGGGATCAGAAAAAATAATAATTTTATAATCATATTCTTTTTCTCGTAATTTTGATTCATATGATTAATTTTGATACTATATATAATTCAAGCACGATTCCCGTATATGTCAGAAGTGAGACCAATATTTCTTAAGACATTCATATAGATTTATTCTAGATTAAACCTATGAAATATTTACCCCTTAGTGTTTCCTAAACAGTAGACGGAAAAAACACACTGGAAAAGAAGCACTTGGAAAAAAGAACACCAGAAAAAAAAAGCACCGGAAAATCATTTCTGAGGATATATCATTACTGAATTAGATAAATTTTGTTTAAGTGTAGAATTTCTATCGAATCTTTCATAAATAATTCCGATTTATGCTCTTACATCGGAAAGTTAATAAGAAACTCTTTAACACATTTTAAAAACAATAATTATCTGTGGAACTTTATTTCTTTTATTGTATTTATAAAATGGGTATTTCCGAAATGCTATTATTTCGTCTCAGCTGTTAATTAACATTAATTTGCAGAGTATAGTTTATAAAATAAAAATAAAATTCGACTTTAATAAAAAATATTTTTTAAAGAAAAATATTCAAAATACATTTATTAAAATGAATTTTTATTTTAATTATTTTTGTTTCGCTGGAAATAAGTTCACTCATTAATTATAACTAATGCTTATTAGACCTATAGAATTTAATATTAATAAAAAATTGTTAAAAAGTGTTAAGATTATTTACTTCAGACCGTATTTTTAGGTTAGAAACAGTTCCATATTGATTACACTTGCTTTCTTTAAAAGCAAAAATGATTTAAATAATCAATTTCATTACTTGTTCACATTTACCCTAGCTTGCTTTAAATCAAAAATCTAAAAATACACACATCTCAATTGTGAGGTCATGTCATGACCATTAATCGGTCATTAAATTCACATGTCCTTAAGCAGTTGTACGTTTTAAAAGTTCTTCACATCAAAACTAAATTATTCTATTTTTTTCTTCTTTTTTTTTCTTTGTGATATTACATGGATTCTTACGTGAAGCTTGTTATTTCAGACGTTTTTCAACGGTGTTTTTTTTTTTTTTCTAGATGCTTTTCTCTGGTGTTTTCTCTTTTTTTTTCATGATTGTTGCAAAATATCAGTCTCTTTTTCAATATTATTTCGATTTTGACTATAATTTAAGAAACTTAGGGTATTTGTGAAAAATTAATTTGCTTAACATTTATCTTGCGATTTTCAGAAATAAACTAGCACTTTCGTAAAAATTGACTTTAGCATTCGATTTTTTTTTCTTTTTAAAATGTAATTATTTTGATAACTGCAAAAATAAATTTAGTGAACTAATTTTAGTTTATTTATGTCTAATTATTTTTATAATATTTATAATTTTTTTTTCTTTTTTAAAATGTAATTATTTTGATATCTGCAAAAATTAATTTAATGAATTATTTTTAGTTTACTTAATGCCTAATTATTTTCATAATATTTGTAATTTGTTTATTTATATTTATAATTTATATGTATAATATTATAATAACAAAGGAAGACCTTACAAAGTTTAGTTGTTTTTTTTTCAAAAATTATTTAAAAAAAAGTTTTTTTTTTTTTTAGTCTTTCTTTTTTAGTCTTTTTCTTTTTTAAGCATTACTCTTCTATGGGGCTAAAAATTCCTTTCTCATAACATCAAATACTATCCAGTTTCCTGTTTGTTAGAGAAAGGAATTCATGATCGGGAAAAGTGGGACCTCGAAGGTTAAGAATGTTAGTGGGGGAGGAAAAGCACCGCAAGCTGGTTTCCTGATTTCCAACCATGTAGGTCTGGTTCAATAACTTCTTTCTCAAGTAACGCAACTTCAGTTAAAACAACTGCAGAAGATTTAGAATTTATTGCGTGGATAGGGGTGTCCTTGACCTATAGGCAGGCAACTTTTGGAAAGGTCAAAAATTCAGACATCTTGTCGTAAGTGTCGCGTAACCCATGGTCAGCGGAAGATTCTTTACACCATCTGATATAACAAGACTTAGGTGAGAGTCAAGTTTTTCGTGGAATTCTCCAGATGGAATGGTTGATTATGGTTTAGTTCTAAAAACTGGCAGAAGCATTTTTTTTTCCTCTTCAGGGTTAGAACTAAAAGGTTATGAAGGATTAACTCTAACACTTTATAAAAATAAAGATCTGGTTTTGTCTAAGGGGGTGACAGAAATATTTCTTCTTTTTCAGTGGTAAAACTAAAAGTGCATGAAAGATTCTTTGGAACAATTTACAAATAAAAAATTAGTTTACAACATGTAAATATTTTCCGAAATTTTAGTATTTAATTACACAATGATTCCATTTAAAGTGCTAGATGCAATTCCCTTATTTATCCCTTTTACACAGTATTTGGCACTAATGGGCTTATTTTTAATACGCCAAGAATCAGCAATGTGTGAATGTAACCAAAAAAAATTCATTACTGTTTTAAAAATTAAGTTTTAATGAGTTATATTTGAAATAATGTAATAATGGGGAATAATTGAAATAATGAATACATGAAAACTAGTTCAAATTTATCAAGTAAATTGAAACTTTGAATATATATGTTAGGAATTTCCTTTAATTAAGCAAATAAATAACTGAACATATGATGATATGATATGTCATGCAACTAATAAAAGTGGCCGCTGGCCAGTAGTCCACTCAAAGAAAACTTAATTGTTTAAAAGTTATTGTCAAAAATATTAACTTAAACCGTAATCGATTTTTTCACCAGAATATGACAAGTTTTACAGAACTAATCCACTGCGTCACTTATTTTTTAACCAAGAGAAAAATTTATTTAAAAATAAGTAACATATTTTAAGTAAAATAATTATATTTTAGATAACCTATAAAATTTTATTTTATTTCTGTTGGTTTAAAAAATGGGCTCATTAAAAATATTTAAATTAATAAAGAAATCAGTTTTAAAGACTTGAATCAAGGAGAAATAAATCCCTATAAAAAAAGAACGGGAAAAAATGCAACGAAAAGAGGCACCTAGTTGACTACTATACGCCTGATTCTTATGATTATATTTTACGCCTGATTCGATTCTGTGGGTTAAAAACGATTTTAAAGTAGCTAAAGATTTATTCGAAATTAATTAGATGTTTTTAAGAAATATATTAAGAACAAAGTTTAGTTAGAAGTTCATTAGAGTTGAAATATTTATAAATTTTATTGTATTATATATATTTCTAATTTTGTATATATAATATTGTTATATAGTAAATAATAGTATTTTCACATATAATGTATCAATTAACAACAATCTCCTAGACCTGATCTTGTGATAATCAACAAAAGTAACAAACAAGATAGTAACAAAAACTATGAAATGCTTTATTTAAATAATAAAATTTTAAAAAATCACAAGTTGAAAAAGCATTATTTCTAAGTTATTATAACATAATACAAAGAGTGTAATTATTGAAATTAAGAACAATTTTCAGAACTACTTAAAAGTTAAATGCAAACTACATTTTACAGAATAGTATGCAAAGGGAAAACTCTTTTCCTTTAACTTAAACTAATACTTGCAATTTTTAAAATAAATATCGATTTCAATTCAAATAAATAATTAATTGCGCTAAATTATGGTTCAACGTACGAATACAAATTATTAAAGTGGTGCTCATTCTGGAGACGCCTTTTTCACCCATGTCTTCCGGTGCTTTTTTCTGAGCTGTTCTTTTTGTCGCTTTCTTTTCTCTGAGCCCATCCATACGAACTTATCTTTTCCGCTTAAACGTTGATGATTCCAACACAAAGGATTCACGAGAACAATTCTTTTCCTTGTACTTTTAAAATAATGCTTTTACAAGCAACCTCCTTATGATGTCCATAATAGTTCTATGCAACATATGGTTCTATGCAACAAATAATAATACAATTGTAAGAAACATACTATTAAAAAATATAAAATTCTAAAAGTTTTGCCGTAAATTTTAAATTTAAACGTTTTAAAAATATCTAAGCAATTTTTTAATTACTCTAAATATGAACTCAATGGCTTAAATACAATCGGCCATAAAATTCATTAAATTGTTAAATAGGAATTTTTTTTATTTATTGATGCATTTTTTGTTTCGGCGCTGTTTATTTCTGTACTGATGCAATAAAGCGGTACGTTTTATGCCACAAAATGTGATTAATTTACTACAGTAAGTCACATCCTTGCAAAATGTTATATGTTTTTACTAAGGGGAAGAATTATTGTAACAAAATAAAGATAAAAGGATATAATTCAGTAAAATCTATTTAATTTTGCACCTGCAGGACTTACTTCTAGGCATAACTGAAAAGAAGATTATTTTGTCCATAACTAATGCAACAAAAGTTTATTTATGACTACTATTTCCCTCACGATTATACCATGCGTACACACCTGCCCTCTTGCATTTTGAATGGAAATATGCCATAAATTTTAACTTTACTTACTTTTTATGAGAGCAATATTGTCTTCGCCTTGCCCCAAGTGATGATAGTGTACGTAAGCACAGGTGACATAACTAGTTTTTCCGCAATAAAATTTGTTCTATTTGTACGAAGCGAGAATAATGTTGTTTGAACTTTATATAAGTAATGCTTATTAGAATACACACGAAAAAGAATTAGTTAAAAATAAATCTAAAATATTGCTTTCATTTGAAATTTGAACTAATACATTAATCTATCGGAATTGTTTTTATGCTTTTAAAACTACTAAATTTTGGCTATATTATCATTAATTTCGTTTTTACGCTAAAATGAAATTTATATTCTTTACGTCTTGGCGACAAAAGATAGAAGGATTTCTGACTTTTTATTTATCTATTGCTATGATATTCGCTAATAGCATTAAAATATTCTTTTAACTAGTATCATAATATTCCATTAACGATGCGTAATGTTTATGTTGTGTTATGTAAAGGATATTTTTTGTTTCGCGATTTTTCTGAGAACTTTATCGCCTATTTTATATTTAACATAAAAACAGTTATGAATTATAATTTCATTTAAAAATAAATATTTATAACAAATTTTCGGAATAGTGAATTGTAGCTTAATTTCTGGTTCTTCACATCATGCCTAATAATAATAATTTCCTTTTCTGGTTTACAGTACGCATTCCTTCTAAAAAAAAATGAAATAATATTCAAAATTTGTGTATTGAACTTTGCATTTTAAATTAATTTATTTTGTTTGGTGTAAAATGTTAAAAAAAAATTTAATTTCTTATTTAATATTTTCTTTCTCATACTTTTCATATTTTTTTCTAGTTGTCTTGTATCATTGTATCTTTATTCGTATGGTCTTAATTGATTGAATTGAATTTGAATCGATTGATTTGATAAAAATGGTTGACTCGATGAAATTTCTTTGCTATTATTACTTTTTCGCCATTTTCAATGTATTTAAGATGAATATTATATTTTACAGCATTCGCAATTCAAGAGTGACGAGACTAGATCATATTAAGTTCCTTTTTTAATACGAACCACCACTTTTAATATTACTTTAAAACCTTTCCTTTTTTTGAAAATTTAGGTAGATTTATTCCATTTTATGATTAAAAAAAAGAAACAATGTTAAAAAAAATTCAATATTTTGTAAGAAACAATGTTAGGAAGACATTGATCGATGGTGAAATAAAACTTTGACATAACTCCAAAAAAAATTTCGATATATTCATTCAAAGATTAAATCTTAATAAAATATTTGTGGTTAAATTATTTCCCAATAAAACTATAAGCGATGAAACAAAGAAATTGTAAAAATAGGCGAAATGTTTTTTAGAAATATATTTGTACATTTTTGTCGTCTTCCCCCCCCCTTTTTTTTTCTCTCTTTTTTCACACTTTCTTTTTCAATTTTATTTAATATTATCTAAGATTATTAATATTATTAAGATAATAAAATTATTCTTTAAGAGGTATTTAATTCTTTATGCAATTATGTGGAAGTCGAGCTTTTAGTACCCAAAAATGCACACCCATATTTTATTGTTTAAAATTACGCATTTATTGATTTTTCTTAAACAAATGATAACAATAACGAAGAAAAGAGGAAAATTATTTGATTATTCGTTATTGCATGACTGTTGACTCCAAATAATTTATCAAGAATAACATTTCTACCTGTTGAATTATGAAATCCGGTATTCTCGAGACATGAAGCAATTTTTTCCCATCCATTGGAACCGTTCTTGTTTTACCATATATTCCCACTAGTATTCTATAGTGTTTGCTTTAAATCCAGTTTCATTTTAGATGCCAGGCAATTTTTTTTTGTATGTTGAAGGGGGGTATATAATAGTGCAATTAGATATGACCTCTCATTTCCACCCCCACGTGACAATAGCCACTTGATAGTGAAGAGTCTGGACCAACTGGAGAGCTTGCACCAGGCCACTAAAGATAGGTCCGGTTTGTGCTGTTGCATTTTGTTGAACTGAGAAATTCGGCACTTTACATGGTTGTGTGGGGGCACCTGCCTTAATATGAGTGTCGGCATAAGAAGGTTGCCGTATATTTGCGCCCACCCACGTTTAAAGGGAAGACGATTCTGTCAGCTACTTCAACTATCATAAGCGGGCCGTTGCAAGGTCAAGGTTTTTTTCCCGCAACTTTTTTTTATCATTACGCTTTTCCAACACCTTTAATCGTATTCGCATTTTATTAATTTTTTTTTTTTGTAAATTGTCGCGTTTTTATTTTGTTCTTCTTAATGGAAAGTAAAAATTTTTTTCCTTGGAATTAAATGGAAAAACATAAAATAAATAACAAAGATTTTTTTTGAAACTGGTTTGCTCGCTCGGAAAATGTTCTTATCTTTTCATAATCATCTATTTTTCCTTTTGTCAACAAATTTTTTGCCATTGGTGGTTAAATTATAAAACCTAGTTTAATCGTTTCTCTTATCGATTAGCTAGAAATTTTTAATTTTCATGAAAACCTATTTAATTTTTGAATTTCCATAAATTGATTTATTGCTGTAATTTACATCGTGATGCTTAGAGCAACAGCTTTTCCCGAATTCTTCTTTTATGGCACAGCAGCCCATTGTGAGCCTTTGACTGTTGTTAGTTTTTGGTCCTGCTCTTGACCTCAAATTTTCAGTTGATAATAGAAAAAATTATTTTGCAACAAATCATTATTTTAATGACAATTATCATTTTAATGACAATTATTATTTTAATCCTTTATCATTATTATAACAACTGATAACATTTAAGAAACAAACTTCAATCTTCAGTGCTTAAATCTGCATAAAAACTCAATGTTAGCAAAACATGCTTATAAAGGATTAGTTAATTCTATAACAATTTCATTTATTGTAACATATAAATTGTAACTACTATAATTATTGATATGTGATTAATTTCTAATTTGTTTGTTCTGCGTCGAATAGTTATAAATTTAAAAAAATAATAATTTGAATAAGACCATAAGACTTTTTTCTCTACCTTTAGAAGTGGCTAAGTTTTTTTTCCCCACATTCAAACATTTTGCTCTTACTTTCACAAATGAGTCCTCATCTTTTATTTTGAATGAACCATTTCGGTCACAAATGTTATTTTTTGCAATATCCTTTAAACATAGCCAGGCATTCTTTTTGTTATCCCAAAATAGCAACTACCTCCAGGAGACAATGTTCTTTTCTATTCATATCTATCCCATCCTAACTTCTTAGCAATGTTTGTCTTTTTGGCACAAGTCTTAAAGTGATAATTCTCTATTGTTTCCTCCATACCACTTTTAGAAGAACTTTATTGTTAAGCAATGAAATTAATAAGAAATGTAACCTAATATTGCTCGACCCACAGAGAAAATTTCATTTTCTCTTAAAATAAAATTCGAATTTTATTTTAATATAAACCCTCGTTTGAACCTAATTACTGATACCGCTCATTGCTGTTTTTTTGTTTTTTTATTGCGTTCTTTTTTTCTGCCTTAGTGCCTTGTAAGTTTCATGGCATAAGAAAAAATTAGCAATACAACTAAATCGTAGTTCAAGCTTGGTTTGCATTGTCAGGTTTTCATTAATATATACTGTAAAACTCCAGTAATAATTATAATAATTTACGTAAAATTGTAATAGAGTTGTTTGTTTTAATTCCACTTTGGTATGACTGGTATGAAAGGAGTAAATGAAGTTATTTCAAATTGGAATAATAAAACTTTTTTTTTAATAAGAATTTTTTTTTCCTATTATCCTTTTTTCTCGGCTTGTAGATTCCATACTATAATTTCGCAAACCTTTTACCCAAAAGTATAGCAAGATATAATAATTCCTTTATTTCTTAATTTCTTAATAATAAAGTCATATTTTAAGTGATTTAACCTCGAAGTAAAGATTCAGAACATATTGTTGTAAAGAATTATATTTGATCGTTAGAAGAGGCAATAAATATATTTAGAGATATTTATAAAAAATTTTTTTTAAAAAATGCCAAATGAGATTTTTCATCCAGAAAAAAAAATATTCAAATCATTGAATAATTCTAAATTTTTGTACATTTTTTATGATCAGCAATTTTGTAATGCCTTTTTAAAGCTTTTTTACATCACAAAAGCTTATCATTTCCACCAAATTGCGGCTTTCTAATTTTTTAAAGTGAAATTTTTTGAGTAGGTTTTTTGAAGTGACTTTATCAAAACAACTTTCATAGCAAAAATAGCTTATAAGAAACAAGCAAAAAATAATTAATCTTTAAAATTTCATTTAAGAGATAAATTTGTGCATGAAAATAGCAAAAGCAATTTCATGATAAATTTTTATCTCACAAAATCAAAACGTTCCTAGACTAGCTAATCATTTCTTTCTTTTGCCTCGTTTAATAATATTATATAAGTAAAACGTTATCTTATCTGTATCCAAAAGTATTGCAGATAAATGATGGTTTTTATTAAAATAGTGTATCATCTCCTTTTATTAAAAAGGGAAAAAAAATAATATTTTTATGTTCATAGTAACTTTGTTTCCGAAGATGGCTTTCAAGAGATGAGCTATGGTTAAGTTACCTAATTGACAGATGATATTTTCTTTCCTGACCCCCATTTCGCAATTGTATGCGCAAATTGTAGTAAGTATGACGAGGGGTCTCTCTGCATCCTGTCTCAAATCTTGCCGCTCAGATCCCTGTGTTATTGAGTTACGAGGACGCCTGGATGGCGCCGACCCCTCTACTGTCCGGCTCCTTAATTTTAGCTATGAAACCTCCCAACCAGAGTTGTGGATGACGCTGTCCAGATCACAGTTTTAGGGGAGGAATGGGGACACCTCATGGTGTTGGTGAGAGGGATCCACCAGTGAAGGACATCTGCTCTTCTCTGACATTGATAGTGAGTAATGGCTTACAAGATTCTGTCACCAACGCTGCCAAATGATTACTTATCCAATCCTTAGTATTGCGCAGACG